TGCCTACTCAAGATGAATTTTGTCTGTTTGAAAGCGAGTGAATTTATTATATATGGAACTGTGTTTCAATTTTGGCGACGATAATACTCATCTTGTTAATAATGTATATTGTTTTGCGTTGGATTTTAGCTGAACTTATGCAAGTAAATATTGATAATTATACAATTGTATACTTTTCGTATGAAACTGCAAAATTGGCATTGTTCTGTAAATAGTTTTGTATAATCATGTCTGTAAAATTGGCAGAAGAGACAGCCTAACGGTCTGGCTGCCTGAGGTGGCAGTTTGATGGCCTTGTTGACTGAGGAGGCAAATTGTCTCGCAGTCGGAAGAGGAAGCCTAAATAGCTGACGACCTGGGCCTTAGGAGTTTGCCACACGCCCTGGAAGCCTAACGTTGGCAGCATAGTATCATGAGGAGGCCGCCTAACATCTTAACATCCTATCGATGTCAGCTTTGCAACCTAAAGTTGGCAATCTAACAGCCTAAAGTCGGCAGCCTAGTATCTTAAAGTTAGTGACTTATATTATAAATATGGAAACAATTTAAAATACAGTAAAATCACTAAGAAAGGTCTTGCAAAAGCACATACAAATGCACTATGGAAAAAACGCCTTAACCTTAAGGGCACTGAACTTTGCAGTCTAATAGCCTAAAGCTGGCAGTCTAGGAGCCTGGCAGCCTAAAATTGGTGTCATGTTATAAAAAATGGAACGATCAAAATAATAAAATGGCATGTTGGGTTTTTCCTAAAATCTACTCATACAAATGGCTTCATAATTTACACATTTATTAATCAATACAATATACTTGATCCTGGCAAGTTACATAACTATTGCATAAATTTTTATCAAATTATTGCCATTTTCAGCAGTTTGATAATGAATATCGTGAACCTAAACCGGCAAGATGGATTTTTTAAGTACTGTCTATACTTATGGCTTCATAATTTCCACACTTGCTTATTTAGAGAAAGTTCATGATATTGCCAAGTTATATAACTCTGACATTCATTTTCCCAAGTTATATTCCTTTTTTTCACTTTGAAAATAGGACCTTGTATGGTTAACATAATACCTTAAATGGCCGTGTATTTTGTGTGGAGTAAGGGGTCTCTAGTGTCAAGGTCACTGGTGTGAAAATTTTTATAACATTTTCGCTCATTAAGCCTTTATTGTTAAGTTGTATCATAGTTTGGGGACCTTGCTGTTGAAAATGTGTCAGAGTTAAATCGTATACATATACACGCACAGTGCGTTAACTGGAGTGCAGTTATTAGTTACACGTACTCCAGAGCATGCCCATTGATTGGTTCATTTTGTCCGGGGTTTACATATTGTGACGACAGAGAAAGGGATAGCGATGGAAATATCATATTCAGATGCTCGTTTATTGGTTACTTTTTTGTGGGGTTTCATTTTGTGGTATCAGGGATCGTGTTTTTTTATGTTTGACTATGATACAAAAGAGAAAGAACATCAAAACACTCGGCAATCTGATTTATACTCGGGGGCTACGCCCCATCGTACAATCAGATAGCCTCGTGTTTCGATGCTCTTTCTATTACTTAATGTATTTCATGTTTAATACAAACATGCCAAGGGAGGTCCTCTTCCTTTGGGTTTAGTTAGGGGTCCTGTGGGTCAAGGCCAAAGTTACCAATGCCAAAAATAGATTTTTACATTTTTACAGGTACATTAACATTATTCTTTTGAGAGATGACTTTTATATTTGTAGGAACATAAAATTGAAGTCTTCTCCTTTGGATGGAGTAAGGGTTCAGTAGGGTCAAGGTCGCCAGTTCTAAAAATAGATTTCTACACTTTTACAGCCTTTATTTATTGACAAATGTATTTCATATTTGGAAGGTAGATAACTTGCATGGTATATTCTTCCTTTTGATTGAGGTAGGGATCAATGGGGCATGGTCACAAAAGTTAAAATAGATTTTAATTTGCAGAGTGAAGTTCACACAAACAGTTTACGCTTTTATCAAAGTTGCTTCTCGTATGCGTGTTTTTATTTCCATTTTAACGCCAGACAGGCAGTGGTTATTCATATTATTGTTGCAATAAATTAAAAAGATGTTTTCTTTACACATCTGTCTTATGTTTTTGTTTTGAAAAATAAAGTTCTTAAAATTATCTGAAAATAGATACTCTATTGTGCGTATGTTTTGTATTTATGGTCATTTGAACTTCACTATGACGTACTCGACATGCGCATTCGGACATGATAAGAAAAAAGTTCAATAAAAATACGAGCATAAAAGTGGTTACAGATTTCTAACTAATATCTTCGTTACATATGTGTTATTCATGTATTGTGTCTTTCGAAAGATGTCAGATTTTATTTCATTAAAATATTTAAAATGAAGCTTACAGATTAAGATTTTCATTACAGCAAAGCAATGATATAAAAAGCCTAAATTCTCTGGCCTATACGGCTAACTGTCTTCAGCCAAATAGCAAGGCCAATATGAGCTTAACCCATTATTTGTATTCTTATTATATGGTATTTACTGAGAATCTTTCATAGGATAAAGCGACTTGGCGAGTAAAATATCGCTTGCCACAATGTCAAAGCGTAAATAGTGTTTGACAAATCGTAAAATGTACTAAATCTTGTGAACTCATTTTAACTTTGACATCTGCTTACTGTGTGTGTATTTGCGTTTATTTATACTCGCCACCGGTTGCCCATATGGGCGATTCCTCCAGAAGTGTATTAGTCATTTTAGTTTTTGGAGATAGTGCAATTACAGGAACAGAAAGATGCCCCAATTCCAGAAGCTTCCCCTAGAAGCACCCATACATGGGACCTCGATTAAAAGTGATATCCGAAAGACTGATTAGTAATTTTAGTTTGCCAGTCCGGGAATCGAACCCACAAGGTCGAGATTACAAGTCTCGCGCTCTAACCGATTGAGCTATGCGGGCTGGCTGCTAACAAAAATTCCGGTGCATATTATATGTGTTAATCGTAAAATTCGGTCATATCTAACCTCCGACTGCGGATCGAATACTACATGATCAAGGAGTACTACATGATATTTTTTGTTTTCGATTTTCGTATTGACCGTGCATTTCATACTATGTTTCTCACATATAAAATAAAAAAAATGTCTTCACCAATATTTAATATGTATTTTGGGGGGGAAAATATAAAAAGGGAGATAATTTAGCAAAAATACCTGTCAGGATCATATTTTCTTTAGAAATGCATAAGTACTTTTATATGAAATAAGTATTTAAGTTTAAAGTGAATATGTTTGAAATTAGCCGTAACCAAAAGGTTAATCAGAGCGAAAACATCTTAGAGAAAAAAGGGGAATAACTATATCTAGGATTATCTGCCCTTTGATATTGCATCATTTGATCATAGTAAACAAATAAACCACATTTAAAGTAAATGCGGTAGTGTCTAGGAAAATAAATGAAATCACTTAAACCAAATTCTTAGAGCGACAATACCATAATACCTTTAATCTGTTGTCAATCAGGGTTACAAATGAAAATGGGAAACAAAAGAAAATACTTATCTATTGAGAATTTAGTATCAATTATCCTTTCTAGCCTAAAGATTACATTATATAGCAGCTCAAAACCTCGATATTTAGGTTCATAATAGAAAACAAGTAAAACAAAGATGGCAATTACAATAAAAATAACTATGAGAATGTTAAAAAGTATTATAATACTACTTTAATCATGATTTTAACATGAATTTACATCTTGCGACATTTAACGGTAGTGTTGCGACACTTAACGGTAAGGGAAATTCGTGCGACATTAAGCGTTAACATTGCGACATTTAACGGCAAATGATTTTGCGACATTTAGCGGCGGTTGCGATATTTAGCGGCAATGGTGCGACACTTAGCGGCTAGTGCGACATTTAGCGGCGTTGCGACATTTAACGGCGCCACATCATGGAATTGATTCAAGAAATATCATTAAAAATGAGCGTTAATTCAGATCATGTACGGTTTGCGTAGTAATTAGTATTTTCATATCCTGGTTATGATTAAAAAAGTCAATATATTTTAAATACATGTAATTCGTACTTTATGTATTTATCTTTTGAACTAGTTGTCTTGGTTTAACATATAATTTAAAGATATGCAAATATTATTATTGAATTATAAGAGCAGTTAAACTAAAAATCTTTAAATCCTGCTATTTCATCCGATGGTCAGCAGCTGAAGTAACAAGTGTAGGTCATACAGCGTTATGCTCGCCCATATGGTATCTTTCTGGTGGCGAGGGTTCAACAAACCGAAAAGACACACTTATACAGCGGCGCTGGAATAAAAGACACGCTTGCGCCGAAAATACCAGTTACAATTATATATCGTAGAGTACATATATGTATTAATATTACTTGTGCACATTGCAGTTGTTAGAAGTAATTTGAAAAAAAATAAACTTGAAATAATAGACTCAATTTTAAATGGGCAAGATCGTTTACAAGTTTACCTGCCGTCTCTAAGGACATCGCCGTGTTTGTTCTCTAGAAAATTACCTACTCAGTATTGGTTTTTCAGCGGTTAAAATTAGAAATCGCACCACTTTCAAATTTGTTAAAACTCGCTGATGATTGGCTGTTTGAAAGGTCACGAGAAGGTGACCTCCTATTGGTGACCGTCAGATCCTAATGCGCAGCATTAATTAGGAGATAATTTAAAATAGATTGATTTTGAAGCAACCAATAAGTTAGAAGTTCAAAGTAACACAATTTGTTACAAACGCTGTTTTTTATCACTTGAATAATTTTACAGGTTAATATTCCCAACAATCAATCTAACAGGATGTGGTCTTGTTTTGTGTATAATTACGGTTGGTATTTTATGTTAATTATCAAACAGTTTATCAATTCAATGACTGTATTATAGTGGTTAGAGGCTTCTATTATTTTTGTTTTTTGGGTTTTTTTTTTTTTTTTTTGGTTTTTGTTGTTGTTTTTTATCATTAATACTCGTAAATAGGTTTTTGTTTTTCTTGTTGATTCATTGCAAATCGTTTGTAAATAATAGGGATTAGGATACAGTCGTAACTAGAGGTTGTGTTAATAATTATTCTTACAGTTTAATTACGAAAATACAAGTATGCAGACGCGATTACTTAGTGGATTTTGTGTTTTACTTGTTTATATGGCAGGGGTAAGTACTCGTGTATATTAATATTGAACCTTTGTTGGGAAGTAAGTGTATTATGATAGTTAACAAAGCTATTTATGAGTAATCATCAGTATCTACTTTAAAAGTTTTGAATAATGCTACAAATATTTATTTCTCTAAGTGCGAAACTAATTTATATTTGGATGTCCTGGCCCTAAAGAATTAATGACAAATGATATCTGTTAGATGCAAAAATTTAAATGAGCTCCAATAAGTTCAAAATCCTAAAAACATAATTTTTAAAATTCTTACATAGATGAAGAGAAACATTTAAAATTTTAAAAAAATCTTCAAGAGATAATTGAAATATACTTTGAATTAAATTGCAAATCAATTTTTGTTCGATTCTTACCGTTGTTTAATCGAAAAGCGTTGCAACGCTTTTCATTTCGAGACCATTTTGCACAAAGAAACTGATTAACCTAGAGAACGATCTGAAATTATCATATTTCCTGTCCCGCCATGTCAAAATCCCTTAGTGATTGAGAAAAAATGTAGATTGGTCATCCTCTGATATGAATAATAACAATCATCATCATCATCATCATCATATTATTATTATTATTATTATTATTATTATTATCATTATTATCATCATCATCATCATCATCATCATCATCATCATCATCATCATCATCATCATTATTATAATTATTATTATCATTATTTTTATTTCAACAGCAGACGGCATCACAAGAATTGCCGAATAGGGCAGTTCCTGTTCCAGGTAGAGGGGCACTTAAAGGGTATTGTAATACAAACATCCACTGTAACAAAGATGAATGCTGCGTTAGTTTTGTAACACCACGTGGCAAACGCTCCCTGCCACCTGATCTCAGACGATTTGTTCGTGGAAAATGTGAAAAACGGGGGAGGCCGAACTCGGGTAAGTGATTTTTACAAACTTTAAGAGATTTTTTTAAGCGTTCTTTTTGGTAGATTCATTTTTTTGCCCCTCGCTGTAAGTTCGAATCCAATGACACATTTTCAACAGAAAGGTCCCCAACTTTGTATTGTATCATAGCTTGGGGACCTTTCTGTTGAAAATGTGTCATTGTTAAATCGTATACATATTCATGCACAGTGCGTTAACTGGAGTGCAGATATCAGTTACCTGCACCCCAGAGCATGCCCATTGATTGGCTCATTTTTGCTTGGGTTTACTTATTGTGATGGAAGAGACAAGGAAAGCGATAGAAATATCATATTCAGATGCCCGTTTATTGGTACAACTTTTTTTCTAGGGTTTCATATTTTGACAACAGGGCACGTGTTTTCATTTTTGACAATGATACAAACAAAACACTCGGCAATCTGATTAATACCGGGGGCTACGCCCCCTTGTACAAATCAGATAGTTTCGTGTCTCGATGCTCTTTCTATTACTTATATTAATTTGTAAGCAACAATCGCAAGGCCAGATTCAGATTTTGTTCAGGCTTGTATCAAAGAATATCACGTCTATGCAGAGGCATTATTATTGTAAAATAACAATACTTTACTAATCTTCAAAACATGAAGTTTGATAAATTGGTTATATGAAGTTAGGTCTATATATAGAGGATATTTGTTTGTTTTGCATGTAAGATTGAAATATAATTTCACTGAGTGAACACCAGATGCAATATTTTCACGAGTGGCGTAGCCACGAGTGAAAATATAATAGCTGGTGTTCACGAATGAAATATATTTCAATCTTATATGTAAAACAAATAAATTTTCTTTTTATTTTATGCTTTTTAAGTGATTTTAAGTATTTTTTTACTGATTTTGCCGCGTAACGTCGCGCATTCTCCTTTGTGACGTCATTATATCATGACGTCACATCATAAGTTTTGAAATATAGTTCTGTTAAATTTCTCTAATTTTGTTAAATTTTTAACATGATGTATGATGACATTGACTTTCTTTTCCTAAATAAGCAAATTTACGTATGACGGCATTTATTTCTGCCTGTTATTCCATTTGGTTATGATTTTCTTTTCATCCGCATTCAGATATAGTCCGGCTACAGTGAAAATTATATTTTATAAATTTCACTAGTGGTTTATCAGAATATAATCATCTGATATATTGTAATAAAACACTGGAAAGCATTAAATAAATCTTATTAGTTTTAAATGCTTTATTCTTTAAACGGATTTTTTTTCAGAATGCCTCGTTAGAGATTTGTCATTATTGAAACAAGAAATATATTACCACTCGTGTCCCTGTTTGAATGCTGGTACATGTATTGGGACAGGCGTGTTTCTACCACCACTTGGAGAACGAGGTATGTTTTAGAAAAGTAATATAAATAAATCATTTCTTAACATGCTTAAAGGAACTCCACTGAGTTCAAAAAGCCTAAAAATAAAATTGGAATTACTTGCATAGATCAAATGTTTCACTTAGAATGGAAACATGTGCATTAGACAAGTAAGAAATATATTCAGAGTAAATTTAAAAATCAAATTTTTGCACGATTTTTAACCAGATTTGAGTGAATTGCGTTGCAACGCTTTTCATTTCTTGGTCATTTTGCACAATAAAACTGATTATTCTGGGAAAACGGAATGGGGAAATGACTTGAAATTTTGCACACAAGATATTAGTCCAGATCTACGCTAAATGGAGCTAAGATCTCGAAAAGATATTTCTTGTTCCGTCTTGACAAAAACCTCAGTGGAGTCCGTGTCATTTTATATGTTTGGTGTTTTATCCTGTATGCAATGTATGTTTACATTCAGACACTTTCTCATACCTCTTAGGTTTGATAATTCTTTGAAATGATAAACCTATTGCGATACAAAGGTCATGGAGTTTCTTATAACATCTTTAAAGTTGGTACAGTTTATTGTATGCCTAATTTATAAATGCCACAAGCCTTAAAATCTTTACGTTATATACAATTCCAAAGCACTTAAAATAGTCTAAAGTGTGTTGTAGTAGTAGGTAATTTTTCACCTTAGTATCTAAAAAAATAATTGAAGAAAGCATTAAACAAATGTGAATGTGAGATTTGAAACAAAAACCTATATTTTTGACAGCAATTTTGTATTTTAATTTGATTATCTCATAAAATAGTTCCAAAATCATTTTATTTTCAAATATACACGTCAAATATTAATCAGTACATATAATCGCTATTTTCAGACTGTGATTGTAAAATAAATGCAGTTTTATTGTTCGCACAGGTATTTGTGGCGCGAAAAAGAAACATTGTTCTTCCTGTGCGGATTGTTCCCCCTCGGAATGTTGTGTTAACATAAGGATAATTGGTAAGAGATCTGCCGACCGGATGAAAAGACAAGAACAGGGACAATGTGAACCTATGGGAAAACAAGGTTCAGGTAATATGCATAATTATACTTTACACGTTATCTTTCAGGACTGTTTTTTATCACATACTTCGTGTTGTATTTTTATTCTTTGCATTATCGAGTGCTATTTATTGTTGTATTGTCCTATTTTGCTTTATGTTGTGTTATCGTGTTCTATTTTAGGTTATCTTGTCCTGTTCCGCTTCATGCTGGTCATCGTGTTCTATTTAAGAATGTATTTCCAGTTCCGCTTCATGTTGTGTTATCGTGTTCTATTTTAGATTGTATTGTCCTGTATCGCTTCATGTTGTGTTATCATGTTCTTTTTTAGGTTATCTTGTCCTGTTCAGCTTCATTTTGTGTTATCATGTTGTATCTTAGAATGTATTGTTCAGTTCAGCTTCGTGTTGTGTTATCGTGTTCTATTTTAGAATGTATTGTCCTGTTTCGCTTCATGTTGCGTTATAATGTTTTATTTTAGGTTATCTTGTCCTGCTTCGCTTCTTGTTGCATTATCGAGTGCTATTTATTGTTGTATTGTCCTCTTTTGCTTTATGTTGCGTTATCATGTTCTTTTTTAGGTTATCTTATCCTGTTCCGCTTTATGTTGTGTTATCGTGTTCTATTTTAGGTTATCTTGTCCTGTTCCGCTTCATGATGGTTATCGTGTTCTATTTTAGGTTGAATTGTCCTGTTTCGCTTCATGTTGTGTTATCGTGTTCTATTTTAGGTTATCTTGTCCAGTTCCGCTTCATGTTGTGTTATCGTGTTCTATTTTAGGTTATCTTGTCCAGTTCCGCTTCATGATGGTTATCGTGTTCTATTTTAGGTTGAATTGTCCTGTTTCGCTTCATGTTGCGTTATCGTGTTCTATTTTAGGTTATCTTGTCCAGTTCCGCTTCATGTTGTGTTATCGTGTTCTACTTTAAGTTGTATTGCCCTGTTCCGCTTCATGTTGCGTTATCGTGTTCTATTTTAGAATGTATTGTCCTGTTCCGCCTCATGTTATGTTATCGTGTTCTACTTTATGTTGTATTGTCCTGTTCCGCTTCATGTTGCGTTATCGTGTTCTATTTTAGAATGTATTGTCCTGTTCCGCTTCATGTTGCGTTATCGTATTCTATTTTAGAATGTATTGTCCTGTTCCGCCTCATGTTGTGTTCTATCGTGTTCTACTTTATGTTGTATTGTCCTGTTCCGCTTCATGTTGCGTTATCGTGTTCTATTTTAGAATGCATTGTCCTGTTCAGCTTCATGTTGCGTTATCGTGTATATTTAAGAAATAATATATCCCAAACTGTGATTTTATTGCTCAATAACATCACTGTTTGGAGTTCGGATGCGGGGAAGTATATCACGAGGGCGTAGCTCGAGTGATATAATGATGCGCATCCGAACGACAAACAGTGATGTTATCAAGCAATAAAATCACCGATTTGGATATATTATTTCGATTCTAACACGACATCAACAAATAAATGCTGCAGTCCACGATTATTAGCTAAATAGCGCTAATTTGTTTCCGTACTTATTGTCAGCGCGTCATATTTTTAGTAGTTACGTCACGGGTATAATGATTACGTCACATATCTAAATATAGAACGTCAAACAGTGATTTTATAGCATAATAATACACACTTTTGGTTCTTCTATGTTCAATAGGGAAAATTGCGGGTCGTGTTAGAATTTAGGTTCAAGTTATTTTACAAATATTTTTAGGTTGTCTTGTAAGGAACGCATCTGGTAGACCTCATGACGTTGTCCAGCATTCATGTCCGTGTCGAAAAGGTCTCACATGTGTAGGATCCGGAGTGAATGAAATTCCTGTAGGAGAGGTCGGGGTGTAAGTATTACCTTGATAAACAATAAAAATGTGTTGATATTTCTCACTGTTTTACATGAATTCTAAAATATAATTAAAATCGTAAATGTATTTAGCAAGATTGCAACTTTTTCGAATGAACTATCTTTATATTGTCAATTTGTTTATATGACAAGTCCCATCACTTCTTAATGGCTTCATTACACGAAAATTAATTCCTTTATATAGTACATTTAGAAAAATTTTCTCGTCTTTTCTATGGGGCGGGGATCTTCTGGTATACCTTTTTATAGTATCAATATTTATTTCTTGTTTTTCTTGATAACTGATAATATGAAAAAGGCAAAGCCTCAAAGCGAGCTCGATGTACTTTTTACGTGAAATAGTATGAAATAATCGCTCATTTTTATTTCAAATGCAGTGACAAGTGCGTGTGACGTCACACGTACTGTGTTAAATATGGCTCCGCCCCTGTCGTGAAATGATTAACGAGTTTTGAAAACGTTGATAAAACTTTGTTTATTTTATTTCACCCTATAATTTTTCAAGCGAAATAAAGATTATTTAAATTGAAATAAATGTGAAACTTAAAACGTTTGCGACATTAAAATAGCCTACTTGATTTGTTTGTTTTGCACGTGCTGTTTGGCGCTACATTGTGACGTCACGTAAACAATACTTTAAACGTCTGTACAGCGTTAACGACTGAATAAAAGATATTGGTGTTCGGATTCATTTTCTTAGTTAGACCATTTTCTTTCATTCTAGATAGTTTTCACCACAAAATTCGACAAAAAATTGTTTTTATTTATCAGATTTCAAACAAAATGGCGCCTTGGATTTTCATTTTTTATACACAGCTTCCGTTATTCTGGTTCCCTGTCCAATTATGGTTCCCATAGGCGTACGCGGGTGACCAGTCTACACATCCGTTTTCAGTCAGAATTCCTCAGTTTTTATCGCTATCTTTAAATTCGAAAGGTTGCGATGTGTCCAATTCGGTACTTTGGACGAAAGTTTTCAAAACCATCACTTAGCAGGTACTCGCGTTACCGTAAAGCTCGCTTTGCGAGCAGGCCCTTCGGGCCAGCTCGTCGAGCTCGCTATTAACTATATTTATATTCAGTTATTCTATTGACCCAGCCATATATCTAAAATGTTGGTTCGTGCATGTGCTTAGAAGTTTTATTTTATTATTTCAGGTGTAGAAGAAAAGGTTATTGAACGTAGAAGCAAATAGACGTCATTTATTAAAGACAATTAATTAAAAGCAAGACTAAAAATGATATGTCAACAATAAATAAGCACCGTCTCTTCATGATATTTTTACAGATGGTAATAAAATTACAATGCATTTTATTTACTCTAAAATCCATATATAAATATTAGCCATCTTGATTTTTGAATTCATTTACAGAAAGACCTATATGAAATAATATATAAATAACACATGACTGTCTGGGTGATAGAGGCGCAGCCTAAATATCATTCGGTATAAAATAACAAATAAAAATAGAAAAGTTAGTCGAAGGTAATTAACTAGTTCAATAATAGTACAGAGGTATGTAGGCGTTATCTCCCTTTCACCCAAAAACATAATAGTGCAACAAAGTCTAGTTAAAGCTTAATATTTATTGAGTCATGCAAGACTTGTGTGCTCCTGGGTGACCCGGGGAAAATATCCAAGGATGGTGATTTTCAATCAGAACACATAATAGGCCTATGGGAGTTTTACATTGAATGATGCATTGAGGTATAATAAACTAAAATGCTCATAAATTATGTTTATTCAAGAAAGGTAATAATTTTATTTAAAAACAAACAAACAAAAAACAACAATATTAATTACTGCGAATATAGCATATGAGAAAATAGATCAATTGTATTCACGGTGTATTATTCTAAACATTGTGTTACGGTATTTCCACTAGCATAAATATCAATTGTATTATTTCGAGTTCTATCGGAATATTACGAGTAAATTTCGTGCTTTTTGTTTTTGTTGGGTTTTTTTTGTTTTTTTTTTGTTTTTTGAAAAAATGCGCGAAATTACGAACACATAAATAAGGAGTTTTTTTACAGTAAAAATGCGAAAAAAGAACCAGCGAATGTACAGTCCTATACAGTACTACATGTGAGTCTTTGTGGCTGCGTTTTTGTTGATTTAAACACAGTTACATTGTAATGACATCAGAAACCTAAGAATATTATATCATAGAGCAATCTTACTTACGATTATCACAACGGATTGGACAACACCCCCACCCCCCCCCCCCCCACACACACACACACACAAACCAAACACACACCGTAATAAAAGGAATACCCCCCCCCCCCCCGGAAGAAAAGGAACAACAACAACAAACACACAAAAAGCAAAAACTATTGATGCAGTTGTATCGGTATGAGATTTTAGTCCATTAGTCAGTCGGAAAGACATCATAATCATATCCCCGGTCGTAACAACTTGGCTATAATCAATTATTACCGAGATTCGAGGTCCTTATCTGGAGACTGGGGGAAAGTGTCGAAAATTCGCTTCATGAGCCATGAACTCTCTTTAGTTTTCGTCATATTTTTATCCGTATTAATTGTGCATATATTATGGTGGCTGATTTCCAACTTTGTATTTTCGCATTTTGAGGCGAAAATACGACATGGCCATGATATATACGATATATAAATCAATTGATAATTACGTAGCATATATATAAATATGGGATTTATATTCATCGAGTGGTATGAAAATAAATATTTAATGATTGGCGGTATCACAAGATGAAAATAAATCCTGTATCTCTGGGAAAAGACTTGAATTTTCTGTTTAATATATAAATTTTACTCTTTTTGCAATTTGAAAGACTGCTCCTTTAATTGTGTGTCTTGACTGAATTTAGGAGAAAGTAGCCCGAAAGACACCAGTGAAAATACGGAAAATATGTTTCACTACAAAAAAAATATTTTTTAGTGAAAATACGGAAAGTGAAAATAGGCATTTTATTTCATATACAAATATTTACACCAACAAACTTCATGCGTAAAATATGTTTTAACAGGAATACACGTATTTTATTTACATCTGTCGCTAAACATGAATATAATAAACAACCGCTAAAATCATGTTCAATGCTTAACATGAAGATATGACAAATATCAACAAGCTGTCGTCCTATGTCAAGGGTTGTTACAAGAGATAAAGTTGAACTTTTTCATATTACTACATCTTGTATTATCACGTTCGTGAAAATAAATGCTATTATACATTTAACTTACATTTTTATTAATTTGTCGGGATGCTTATATAGTAATCAAGTTGTGTCTATAACTCTATATCACATGGAACGGTCATATAACTTTGATCTGCCTATTAAAATAAAAAAAATTGAAAATAAACAAGGTTGAAATCAATAACAAAACAGACAAGAAAAACTATTTTAGAATTTATCAACAACAAAAAAAAAAAAATAATAATAAAAAAATTCAATTAACAGACCTTGTTCACTTTGACTACTACATTGAATTTTGTATGTTCCAAAGAAAATACTACTTAGTGTTTGAAATTATTTTTTGTCCAATAGGATCGCAGTATTTCAAATGAATCGTAAAACAATTCCTTCGATAAATCGGCAAACTGTTAATCAGTCTAGTAAATCGACTGTTTATAAAAATAAGTTAAAACACTCAGCCGGTTAAAATTTATTAGTAGTACGTATTTACAAAAATAAATTGGTCGCACGGCTTCGTCGCGCCTGACCAATTTATTTTTGTATTTATTTATTTATTATTTATTTAAGTCTCAATAACATATATGTACATATCAACCAATATAAAATACAAGATAAAACAAATGGCATACATATATGAAACCAATCAAATGTTTGATTTGCTAGAGACTATTAAAAAACTATACATTTTCAATTTCTTAAAAACTCTATCACATATTTTAATGACTACTCACTTAATGTACATATACAGAATAAGAAATCAAATGAAATGTCATCTGAGTTTGTTCTTAATCATAGCTTTGTCAAGTCAAAGATCTTGGCAAGTACTCATATTTGAGTACAGTTAGAATTCAAATTACTCTGTCTATCCCATAGAAAAAGGCTGAAAGATTTAATCATAAACAAAATAGTTCAGAAAATTGTTATGTGCTAAACTGTATGAAGACCCAAATATTCATGTTCTATAACAACAGTGGTTGTGTCAAAATTATGACTTGGCATTTATTTGTATAACCAAAAAAACAAACCCTCCTTATTTTTCGGTTCTAAACTATATTACTTTCTTTACCATATATCATTGATTCTCCACTAAACGTGCAAATTAGAAAATATTCTGTCCCTCGAGTATATTTTGTTGCACTGCAGTTAAAAAATACTTTTTGGGCATTCCATTGCTTCATTACATGGTCATGTATGTAAAGCATTCAAATTAATTATCTAGTCTGTCGGATTTATACGAAAATATTATCATGCAAAGGTGCTGTATAACCCATTATGTAATGTCCCCAGGCTTGGGTCCCATATTACTGTTGGTTTTACATAATAACCCCTAAAACATGTGTTGAAGAAAAACTGCTTTAGTATTAAGTTTTAGTTTAAATGTCTAAGTGAGCGATTTTTATTGTTTTCTACAGTGAATTTGAAAAAAGTTACCAGCTGAAATGCATGTCCCTCATATATTGAACAGATACGTTACCACACTTCAGGTAAACCTGAGTAAGAGTAATATGAACTTGTAACATATTAATAGTTTGCTACTAAACTCAAGTTTTATCATATTTCATTATTCAAAAATAATTTTGACGACAATATACATGCTAGAACCACAATGACTTTGCAATGATGAGGCAATTTGGATTATACTTTAAAGTGAAACAGATACGTTACCATGATATCCCACTGAGAAACATTTACTATTACCAGCACTTAAAAGTAGGATCGCATTTATGCATTATTCAAATATATGCTTTACAAAACTTGATATTTCAATATATTTGGCAACCATATGTGTATATCTGATATATTTTAGTTTTTTGACCAACAGATACGTTACCAACAGATACGTTACCAAAATTTATTGTTTGAATCTTAATTGACGATTTTGCTCAATTTTGAAATGGTTTCATGTAAAAAATCACAGCATAACGTACGTGTAGCCAATAAATGATGCTTTGATTTCGATTTTATTGGAAAACTGAAAATGTGAATCAGGAATTTTAAATTCAAGGATTAGTTGAGTTTTCTAGACAATAAAATGTTGAAAAACAGGAAAGAAACATATAAAGATTTACTGTTTTATTTCTTAGAATAATTATATGTTGATATCTTTTTGGTTTGCAAAATTTGTATTAAAAATAAAATGTAGAGGACTGTATAACTTCTGGTAACGTATCTGTTTATCATAGTAACGTATCTGTTTAGAAAGAGATTTGAGTACTGTGTTGTGCAGCAGAAAAATAATAAAAAAATTTTAAAAAAATAAATAAATAAATATGCATAATAATTTTTTTTTAAACAAAAATATTTATAAATATAATTATTTTTTAAAAGGTTAAATTTTTAAAACAATGTGTAAAATTTTAAATATGTTAAGTTACAAATTGTATATGTTTTAATAACAGATGTCAAATTTAAAATTATGTAACTGGAAGATTAATATGCGGCTTTTCCTCTTTGTCCAATCAACTGTGCTAAAAGTTTTATAATATATAGGTGATAAGGTCAATTAAGCTGTCTGTACTTATCATGTTGTTAAACCTTATGACTAATAAAATATCCAGGTGATAATTGTTGTTATAAATTCTATGTTGCTATGTTACATTATTTCGTTTTAACTGCTAAATTGAGAGGTTGGGAAAGACACTGATTTTCACCAAGTGTTATTCGCTAACTTTGTAGTTTTACTGAATGTGGATTGTATTACAACACAATGTTTCGTTTTATATTTTAATGTTTTTTTTTTAGTGAAATACCACAAATAATATATAACATATACACAGGTTATTCTAATGTTAACAAATTAATATTAAAAACAGTAACAATTATTTTTAGTAAAAAGCCACAATACAATGTTATCACTTGAAAATCCAAAATTTAACTAACTTTAAATTTTCTACATGTATCTTTACAATAATTTTAAAATTAATTTCGTTTTAACTAACCAATAAAATTTTAACCTTTTTGTGTCTTAAATAACAAAATAACCAATTAGGTTTTAATACAAAATAATGTAACATAGCAACATAAAATTTATAACAACAATTATCACCTAAATATTTTATTTCAAGATTCAAGATTCAAAATATTTATTGGCAAAAACATTTTACAATGTCCATCGCCATGTTCGGCGGTT